TAGAAGGAGTTAGATTTGGAATCAGTAAATTAAAAGACAATAAATCTCCCGGTAAGGATGGTTTGGTTAGCGACTTTTACAAGAACAATTATCTGAGTTTTTACTATGTTTTTTTTTTATGAAGCTATTATATATATTTTAAAAGAATAGATGGATGAAGAATTACTTTTAATATAAAAATGCAATTTGGTATTTAATTCCTAATCTAATCTTTGAAAAGATGGGTGGTGTTGCTTTTCTGTTGCAATGCAACTTTGAAATAAGTAAGATTCCAGTTAGATTATGTGATTTTCACAAGCAGGTGCTACTCTCTTATATATAAGCATAATTTCTAATGTATCATTTGGAATAACAGGTATATAATGTTTAAACATAAAACTTTTCAAAAATGGGTAGACAATGGTATTATATTTGTTAAACAGTTATTTAATGAAAATGGGCACCTGTATACCTACATAGAATTTCTTCAAAGGTATAATATTCCAATAATCCCTAAAGAATATTGTATAGTGTTTGATGCTATACCTTCCGGACTAAAATGTCTGTTTAAGGAGACTGTGAGACCTGATGTTGCAATTAATGGAGTTACTATTAATGATAGAAAATGGACATAATGGACATAACACAGCCCAACATCTTCTAAAACATACTGGTATTCTAAATTTGAGTGCATTGACTGGAAATATGCATGGTTGCTGCCTACAAAATATTGCATAACAGATAAGGTGAGAGAAGTACAATTTAAAATACTCTATCTGGTGTACGCTGTTAAAACTCCTTTTCCTAGATTTCGTGCTAATGTAGATGTTATATGTGATTTCTGTGGGACTGAGAAAGAACATGTTGTGCACTTATTTTGTAACTGCATTTATAGCTAAATGTTTTGGATAGATTTGGAATGTTTCCTTTGTAAATGCCTAAAGTTTACATTTCTGAAAAATATGTATTTTTTTATTTTAATAGACAAAGATTACCACCAAATGGGGCCTTTATTGTTAATCTTTGTTTGATTATGGGGAAATACCATATACATAAACAGAAATGGGCTGCCCTCTCTGCGACTCCCTCTTTTCCCCCAAAAGGTTTCCCTCAAAGTTCATTAAGACTATGCATATCCCACAGATCATGTATCTTGTGAACCTGTTGTTTTTCCCCTTCATGTTTGGTATCATTTTAAAGGTCTTTGTGCGATTGGTACATTGGTTTCAATTTCAAAGTAGTCATTTATATTGTGAGAAAGATTTAAAACTTTTGTAGAATTATGTTGTGTTGAGGAGGGGGGGTGTTCCCCTTTAGGGGTCTGTGAGAATGTTTCCAGCCGGGTGTGACACTGGATCACAGAAACTAACAAACAAAAGGGATTTTATGTTTTTACAACTGATTTAAAGATTTCTTTGTTTTTGTTCTGGTAGTTGTCAGGGAGTATCTGTCATCTGTCACCAGCTCTGGACTCCATATCCCTTTACTCTTAAATTTATCTTTGAGAATTTGAGTCTTGTAATGATTTGATATCTTTGAATTGACTATGTAATTGGCATAATACATATTTACCTATGATTTGATATCTTTGAATTGACTATGTAATTGGCATAATACATAATTACCTGACTGATAATAAATTGTTATATTTGATTTATTCTGGATTCTCCTGAATTAATTATGACCAGTAAATCATAGGAGGCTAATGCTACCGTAAATCTGTGTCCAGGATAGTACAAACTAAAGGCGCATGA